TCTTCAACACAGCAGATCAGACTGGTGAGGAAGACCTTTTACATCCCCACCCCCTTTCAACCGCCAGCCCGTCCTTCTCCTCCAGATTCCACTGCACTAGCCCATTAATCACTACTGGGCAGCTGGCTTTTAATTCAATGATGGTGTTTGACTTTTCTTCATATTCGGAAGACATGAGATTATAAATTGAATTAATTCTTGCCTCTGAATAAAACGAAATGAGGAAAAATCAAAGGGGTTACATGTTTCTTTCAGGCTTGTTACCTTTTTGTCCAGATTTAAGCAAATCTTTGGTAATACATTGAATTGACCTGACTGAAATTTGTGCTTCAACTGTTGTGATATCAGTAAACGGGCTGGAGAAATGTTTGTTTGCAAATAGGCTTCAGCTGTGTTGTGTTGTGCAGATTCATTTGGTGGTTTTGGTAGTTTAATAGAGCAAGCTAACACAAGTCTCCTCTTTTTCTCATCTCTCTCTCTCTCTCTCTCTCTCTCTCTCTCTCTCTCTCTCTCTCTCTCTCTCTCTCTCTCTCTCTCTCTCTCTCTCTCTCTCTCTCTCTCTCTCTCTCTCTCTCTCTCTCTCTCTCTCTCTCTCTCTCTCTCTCTCTCTCTCTCTCTCTCTCTCTCTCTCTCTCTCTCTCTCTCTCTCTCTCTCTCTCTCTCTCTCTCTCTCTCTCTGCTTGCGCAGGAAGATTGATGGCCCCCGGGCACCTCGTGATGAGAGGAGGAGAGCACAGCACAATGAAGGTGAACTAATGCATGTCTTTTTAGAGCTCAAAATATATTCAGTTTGCTTTCTAACTATTCTCCACACCATGGCAGTAAAAAATAATCAACATAAAACGTCATTTGCAGCATATTTTACTTCTGTAACCCTAACGTGTCCAATTAAAGCAGCTAGAAAACAACATCAACAAAAAACTGTAGGATAGGAATTTTATCCATCTGGAATTGGATTGTAATATGGGTGTTACCAGTATTAATACAGGTGAAAAGGAAGTGGTTTCAGTGGTGGAAGTTATTACACTTTAATAAAACCTTATGAAGACAGACTTTTTTTTTTTTTTTAAATAACATGCACCGATTAATCATTCACTGTAAACAATGAACATGTATAAGCAAAAAAAATCAAGTTTAATTTCATATTGACTTTTACTTTTATGCAACGCACTGAGTAACTCGGACTACGGATCAATTTGGACTGTTGCTAAATGTTTTTTATTCTGTAGTGGAAAGGAGAAGAAGAGACAAAATCAACAACTGGATTGTCACACTGTCTAAAATCATCCCAGACTGCAATATGGACAATACCAAAACAGGAGCAGTAAGTACCAGATCTTTTCTTCTTGCACCTCTTTTCACCTGCTAATGTTAATGAACACCTTTCGTCTCTAGAGTAAAGGAGGCATCCTGTCTAAAGCATGCGATTACATTAGAGAACTCCGACAGACTAACCAGAGGCTACAGGAGAGCTACAAGGAGGTGGAGAGAATACAAGTGGACAATGAGCTACTAAGACAACAGGTATATTTGTTGGTAACGTTGAATATGTAAGAGATACAGTGGGGTCTCAAAGTCAGACAACCAGTTACGATGCTACTTTTTTTCCCCTCATTATATTTTTTAATTGCAAATGTATTGTAAGCATGACAATACAAGTGCTAGTTGACTTGAAAAATGAACATGTATTAAGTTTGTCACTCTTTTTGCAAATTAATAATTTATCAATTAAATGTTTTTCTTGTTCTTTTTTGTCTGGATTCTGTTTTTTGATTTAATCTAAAAAAGTGGATGCATAAAATGAACACATAACTTTAATAATTTAATAAAATAAAATAAAATGTAATCAAATTAACTTTGAACAATTCCTAATTTTATTTCCAAAGGTGCTGAATGTAATGTTTTTTTTTTTCTTTGACTGTCCTTAAAAGCATAAAAATACTGATATTTAGGAAACACGCTAAGTTAAAAAACTCGTTTCTCCAAAAAACAATACTACAGCCAGTTATTCTACTTTGAAATGTGCATTTCATGTCAGAATGTTTGTTTTTGTTTTGGTCCATATGATCCCGCCCACTGCCAATTTACCCAATAGTCTTTCGACACCCATAGTGGCCAACAACTTGTTGGCGGAAAAAAGCAGCCATGAAAGCCAGCAAACGAACTGGGTCAGATCTCAGTTTCTACTCAACCTAAAAGGCCTCAGCAATAAAAACATTGCAAACGTATACATTAGCTGATCAACTTGCAGTGTAAGTCTCGTCGCTTTCCTTTGTCAGTTGCGCTCCTTCCTGTTGAGTGTCCTCAATCTGGCAACCAGTGAGCGTAGAGCCTGAGGAGGAGGAACGGGAAACAACTCTCTCCGATATTTTGAATTTGGACTGGAGTGCCCATTTCAACAGCTATCTGTCAATATTACATACAAAAATTGTGCAATATTCTGTGACGTTCCATGTTATACAGAATTTTTTTTTTTTGTGTGACTGGATTCTGTGATTCCATCCACATTTTACGCATTGTAGAATTCATAGAGCCCTAGATCATGTTGAATCTTGTGTTTCAATGGATGCAAGTAATAATGCCGAATAAATAAATGCTGAATCTTGCGATTATTAAAAGTTCATTTTCAGGAAAAAACAAAAACTGATTTTCAGTGTGCTCTTTTGACTTCTGACAGGTTATGTAAGCTTTAGAACACAGATTCTCAGTGTTAAGTTTATGAGATCTGTGGTGTTTTGCTGACCAAGTCAAATAGTAATATGTTGAATGTCTATTGTCCTGCAGATTGAAGACCTGAAGAATGACAACGCACTTCTCAGAGCTCAACTACAACAGCATGGCCTGGAAATCAGTGAAACTACATCACAGTGACAAAAAGAAAAAAATCATTATCACGAATAAACAGTCTCAAGTGGAGAAATAACCCCTCAATGACCCACTTGCTCACGCCTCATCACAGACTTAAGATGTTCTGCAACTCAAGTAGTGTATGAATGCTTGTTTGATACACAGACACACTTCCTTCTGAACAGAGACTCTCTGACCGTTGTGAAAATAAGATCTGCTGTAAAAGCACACTTTGTTTTTTCCTTCACTCCCGCGAGAACTCAACAACTTGGACTGATCCATATGGAATAACCCTCTTCTTCCAGAAGTATCCCGCTTGTCACAGGTCTTTGTCTTTAGTTTAAATCTTGGAATTGTGAACCAGTGATATGCCTGCTCATGCCTAATGCTCATCTTTTGTTCTGTTTGAAACATTTTGTGTATTTTATTTTTTTATACTGTCTCTGACACGACAGAAGGTCTTTTTTCAAGGGTTTGTCTATATCGTATTTATTAGCTTTCAAGAAATTGCGCAGCTGCAGGTACACACAAAACCTTTGCATTTGATTTTGTTTTTCTGTCCTGCAGTCTTTCCATATATCAGACTTTCTGAAATACGTTCATCAGGCTGATCAGAGACTTGACTTTTGTGGCACATCAAGACTAATTTACAGTATGAATATGCTTAGAATGCAAATGAAAGTGTATGTTTTCATTTAAAATAGAGACGTATGATACCTAAAACTGCATTAGCTACGAATTTCAGTTTTCAGAGTCCATCATATTTAATGCACTGTGATTTTAGTGAAGGATGAACGAGTAGCTCAGGGTTTTGAGGTGCTGGAAAATAGCCGAGGCTCTGGAACTCCCCGCTAACCTTGTAACCCTGCACTTTTTTGCCCGTCGGCTTTAACATACTAGATTCTAAACATGTACTGTATATATATGTTTCAACCAGTTGTTCTGAAGTCATTACTTAATTCAGAGAAATGTTCTTTATAAGTCCTATATTTCCCAGGCTCATTTATGTACAGCAAATAAAATGGAAGATGCACATTGGAAGCGGATAGAAATGCTACTATTTGTAGTGTTGGCTCATTTTTGTTGTAGCTAATCTTCCATCTTATTTTGTATCCATTTAGTTTAAACATTCATCAACAACAACATTTTGAACAATAAAATCGAGGTGAGCTATAAAGAGGAAGAAAACCCACTAAATTAGAAGAGTTTGAGCATAAATATCAGACAACAATGGGAGTTATAATTATTGAGCTATGCATAAGGAAACCAAACCTAGTTTAAAAGCTAACCAATTTATTTTCTTACTTGTTGATCTTTTAGTTTTAGTTGTTTTATCTCCTTGTTTTTAAGGCTAATTCGGGCCTGTTTTTCCCTTTCATTGTCAGACGGGTTTATTGCAAGGCTTGAATGATATAATGCTGGATTATAAACATACTTTTGACTGTACTAGCAGCACCCATTTATCTTCGCTTCTCTCTGGTCTTGGGTGGGGGGAAAGCATCAGATTTTAAACGGATTAGCAAAAAAGCATTAAACAATCTGTGATAGCAAACCGTGTGTTGAACCAGTGAAACCAATATATGTTTGAAATATTCCACATAGCAATACAGAGAGTGCACAGATAACCCTTAAACACTCTGTCCTCTTCACAGTATTAATGCTGAACTTGAATGACTGTTGATTTGCAGAGTCCAGAATCATAGTCTAATGCACTGCTGCTTTTAAAATCAAAGTATAGTAAGAGAATATTTTTATTCATGTACGTCTGGTTGAATTGATGAACACTTAGCATGGCATTCTTACCACTGGTTTGATATCTATAAGCTATACAACACAGTTGCTTTGTTTTTACCTAATGACTGTTGATGTTTATGTATGTACTTATATAAAAAAGAGAAAACCAGAATTACAATATGTAGTTTTCTTTGAAATAAACAAAAGTGCTGAAATAAATTTGAGTTTTTATCTCCCACGTCATCACTTAAATGCAATCGCATGACGACATGCATGTATGTAGATTCATTGTGAAAACCTTAATGTGTTTCACTGGTTCTCACTAGCTCAGACATACAGATCTTCTAGAGGAACTCTATATATGGTCTGTTCACGTATCTACTTAAAGGAAATGAAACGTAGTACAGGCAGGAAACACCTCTGCAAAGGTGTGGCCTTAAATGTTTGTGCTGAGAATACAAAGGAAAAGACTGGGTGAGTGCGTAACAGAATTGTAAAGTCGGAAGATTTTTAAAGATAAAGCTAAAACTAATTTTATTACGCTGTGGAGGATGCATTGTCAATATTTATATCAGACATTGGCCTACTTTCACTGAGTTACCTGTATATTTATAGGATGAATACTACAAGTGGGACTTTAGAAAAAATTCTAAAATTCAGCATTAAATGCACCCTACTTGGATGAGAACTATTGCATGGGAATATATTTCTGCATCTATGCGTAACATATTTTACAGAATAATGTAAATGACAAATCCATTTGATCTGTAGTATACAATATAATATAAATCTTTATCTCATATTAGTATAAAACACATGCTATATTTCAATCATGAACCTTTGACAGGTCTATCAAAATACAGATATTTTCTTGTTAATTTTCTCTATAGACAGACTTAACAACAAATGTCACTGTCGACCCACAATTAGCTGCAATGACAACGTCCCTAAAACACAGACGTTTCTGTTCTGAGCCGATGGGGGATAAACTTGTATATGAGCTTCCTGGAATTGGTCCTGTGCTGGGTGGACGACTACAGAACAGGGGTATAATAAGAGCACGAGACGTCCTGGGGCGATTCCTGGTCTTGAACAAGGATGAGTGGAAATTTAAGAACTGGCTTAGAGACTCATGTGGGGCAAATGCAAAGCAGCAGAAGGACTGTTACAACTGTATGAGGGAATGGACAAGTAATAATTTGTAAAGAAGAAAATATTAACAGATTTGTCTAAAAGACTAATCGAGAGGGGCCAGCTGAGGTGGCTCGGGCATCTGTTCCGGATGCCTTCCCGGGAAGGTGTTCCGGGCGCGTCCCACCGGGATGGAGGGACATTAGCTGCGTCCCAATGTGCATACTATCCATCCTAAATAGTATGTGACATTGGTAATTGTCAATACTATTTAGGGCATAGTATGCACATTGGGACGCAGCTTATGTCTCCCGGCTGGCCTGGGAACGCCTCGGTGTCCCCCCGGAAGAGCTGGAGGAAGTGTCTAGGAGAGGGAAGTCTGGGCATCTCTGCTTAGACTGCTGCCCCCGCGACCCGGCCCCGGATAAGCGGAAGAAGATGGATGGATGGATGGATGGAGTAATAATAAATAGCATACACCCGAAATAGTTTCCGTTCACATTTATAATGTCATTGTATGAGTATACCATCAATTTATTATATATAAATGGATAATCTGTTTACTAGGGACTTATGTTCAGTGATATGGAAATAAACAATGTGTTTGTCACTTTTTGTAATGTCTCATACATGCCTTTATCCATCCCAGTAATATAATGTATTTGAATTATCTTAATTTAGTGGCTAAATTAATTTGACCACCATTTCAGTGACAGCTTTTTTATTTAGTTATTGTTGGGCCATTGCTATAGTTGATACCTGAATGACAGATCCCCATAGAAGACAATGGTAAACATCAGAAATGTGTTACTTGTAACAATAGAATAGTTACTACTAGTCACTATCAAAATAAATACTATATCTAATGAATAAGTATTTAATAGTATTTAATAAGTAGGCTACTAATGAATAAGTACTATCTAATAAATAAGTATTAATAGGTACTATGAATAAGTATTTAATAGTAAGTATTAGTATTTAATATGCACCGATGGGATTTTTTTGGCCAATACCGATTTTAACAAACAATAGAGGGGTTTCACGACGCGTCATCAATCCGGAAGTCGGCCATTCCCTTTCGAGAGGTTCCTCCTATTGCGTAAGCTTACGCTATGGGAAAACTCCTTTTCTCGAGAAATATTGAAGTCTTTATGTAAAACGCATTGCAGCTGCACAGCATACAGCAATGAGCGAGGCAGCTCGGTCATTGGCTGTGCTGCGGCAACTGCACGAACCAATGACGGGGCGACTCTGAACCCGCTTCCAATGAGCGTGCTTCGCGCCCACGCGCGTCAGAGCCCGCCAAGATGGGCGTGGCCAAGGGCTATATATTGGGCGCCCCGTCGTCTGAGTTCTTTAGATTTAATCTCCTTCAGCAAAGAACCTTCTCTTCGCTGGATCCTCCAGGTTTGTTGGAGTCTTTTCGCCGCCGCCGTCGACAAGCCTACAGCAGGACTGCTTCGAGGACGCCGGCGCCTTCAGCCGCCTTCGATCGCCCTTCTGCTAAGCCATCCGGCGCGCATCATCTAATATCCTTTCAAAAAGCTTCAGTGTTCGCCCCCGTGACACTTTCTAAAAGAGCAAATTTAACAAGGCGTTGTTTCAAATGCCTTCCTGCGCCTCGTGTCGAGGCCCTCTTCAGGACGGGGATCGTCACATCATTTGCGCCCGCTGCCTGGGACCGGACCACGCAGAGGCTGCCCTTACTCGAGGCGGATGTCCCGAGTGTGACGCCCTGGGCCTCACCGAGCTGCGCGCTCGCTTCGCCGTTTTCACCGCGAAAGAGCCCACCTCTTCCGTGCTGCCATCTCCTCTGGTCGAGCCGCGAAAGAAAAAACGCCGCTCACAGAGGCCGCCGGAGCACGCGGTTTGCAGTGATGTCACGCCGGGCCAATCCCCGCGTGCTTCACCACCACCCGAAGACTCCCCGCCGCCAGTCCAGTTCACACAGCGGACCAGCACCCCTCCAGCGGAGCGATGGGGCTCGTCTCGTTTGGCGCGTCAGGGGATGACGATGATAAGGATGACAGTTTTTCCTGTGATGCGGCCTTCAGTGCCCCTTGGGCATCAGAGCTCACTCTACGAGAGGCATGGCCTCCTCGTGGGCGTGGTCGAGTGGGATACCCATTCAAGATATTTGTGCGGCAGCAGGCTGGGCCTCACCGTCCACATTTATCAGGTTTTATAACCTACAGGTCCCCTCATTGCACTCTAACATACTGTCGGTCTAACTATGCATAGGCTGGGGTGTGTACATGCTGAGCATTGTCTCCTCCCTCATAGAATCACATCTTTGACTGATGTGGAGGATTTTTCATACATGACAGTACATAAAAATGTGCTTGTGTGTGTCTCTGGACGCCCATCGGGCCGTTCCACGTTGTCCTTTTATAAAGCCCGCCTTCGGCTGGCTCGTTGGATAATTACTTCGCTCAAAGGCTCAGGCACCTGCCTCCGGCTTAATAGAGCGAAGTCAGCACGCACAGCGTTTTACATGGCGTTCCCATAGCGTAAGCTTACGCAATAGGAGGAACCTCTCGAAAGGGAACGACTCGGTTACTAACGTAACCTCGGTTCCCTGAGAGGAGGGAACGAGTATTGCGTAATCTGCCGTGCTTGTGCTTGGTCAGTTTGCTTCAGTCGATTGAACCTAAAGAACTCAGACGACGGGGCGCCCAATATATAGCCCTTGGCCACGCCCATCTTGGCGGGCTCTGACGCGCGTGGGCGCGAAGCACGCTCATTGGAAGCGGGTTCAGAGTCGCCCCGTCATTGGTTCGTGCAGTTGCCGCAGCACAGCCAATGACCGAGCTGCCTCGCTCATTGCTGTATGCTGTGCAGCTGCAATGCGTTTTACATAAAGACTTCAATATTTCTCGAGAAAAGGAGTTTTCCCATAGCGTAAGCTTACGCAATACTCGTTCCCTCCTCTCAGGGAACCGAGGTTACGTTAGTAACCGAGTCGTTTTGGAGGCACAGAACGTAAATACCGGTAATGCCACTGAACTGAATGGACTCGCAAATTTGACTGATTATTGCTGCTGAAAAATGGTCGAGTTTTTGTCTGTACCAATCGGTCACATCGGGAAAAAACATGTCGAGTGCTATAGACTGTCAAAAGTTAAAGAGAAGAGTGCAAAAAACTGACGAAAGAAGGCGTTTGTGGTTGAGAGAGGTAGAACATCATCAGACAGGTGTAAATGAAGCGTTGACTATGGCTAAAATGTCGACGTAGTTAACTATGGCTACATTCACACTGTCAGTCCAAATCCGATTATCCAGTGTTGGGGAGTAGTTAACTACAAGTAGCGACGCTACTAACTTAACTACATTTTTCAGTAGTTTGACAGTAGCTCAGTTGCTTTTTAAACAGTGTAGCTTTTCCAGTAGCTAACTACTTTTTGCAGCAAGTAGCGGTGTAGCGCGAGCAAAAGCTACATTGTGTTTTGTTGAGCCTGCGCGAATCAGCGCGATGCAAGGATATTCTTCTTCTTGTTAGATTACAAACCAATTTGTTTTGCCATTACCGCCACCTGTTGTTTATTCACGCATCTTGCGGCTAACGGTTCACTGACGTACAGAAGACCTCAAGCACAAATTTAAGGACGCACATACAGGTGATTAATGGACATTTTAAAATGTATTAATTATCCTGCTTTATTGCTCTCTATGTTACATCAAATTTCTATTTCTGATTTAATTACAATGAACCGCCATGATCTGTCCGCGTTTGGTAATGAACATAAAAGACCACTAAACTAAAGTTTGCACCATCGTGTTTCAGTTGAACAAAAAATGTAATCTTAGTTTGTTTATCGCACGACAAAGGCTTTGATCTAATTAAATTGCTGTATAGATTTGTTGTGACTGGATCCAGAGCGAACCGAACTGTGCTCACAAGCAGCTTGTGATTCAGGTTCTTCTTTCACAGTAAATTCCAGTAGCACCTCAATGCAGTACATGAGATCCACGGGGAGGAGTCGGATCAAGATCCAAGGGGTGGAGATGGGTAGGATTAGGGGTGGGTTTAGGGATTAGGGGTGGGTTTAGGGATCAGGGGGCGGAGATGGGTAGGTTTAGGTATATGTAAGGTGGGAGGAGTTGGATCTGGATCCGACTCCTCCCCGTGGATTTCATGGACTGCATTGAGAACCATCTCGTAAATTCTGCGAGCTCCATCACTGCATGTGAGCGAGTTTAACGTGCATTACAGTGCCACATGTGAGCGGTTGTTCAATGTATTTTCTTGCCAAAATGCAACCATCTCACAGTCACAATCGGTATTTTTGAGAAAAAGTCTATACATGCAATTTACGTTGGATGTATATTTTGTTCTTGCAATGTTGTATTTGTTGCAATTTTGTTTCAAAATCATAATTGTATTGCATTGTTTTAAACACTAAATATTTTACTTAAAACATTCCTCAGACACTTATTCAGTTATTTATAATATATGTTGTTCAAAAAAAGCAAAAGTAGTTTCAATGTAGCTAGCTACTTTTTGATCGTAACTTGTAGTGTAGCTAACTACTTTTCCAAAAGGGTAGCTTGACTGTAGTTTAACTACTTTAACTAACGAGTAGCTTGTAGCTTGTCAAACTACAGTTTCAAAGTAGCTTCCCCAACACTGCGATTATCTTTGTATCAAATTGGAATCTGATCTAAAATGATGTCCACACTGTGTATCGCAACTGTTCAGATCCGACGTGTGTGTCCATGCATGTCATTTGGTAATATGGCAATGACTTTGCGTTGATGGAGGGGTTGCATTTGCAATATAATGTTAGATGTTGTCTTTTTTAAATGTTACAACATGGAAATGTGTATAGCCGCCGCGCTGGACTACTACGGCAGAACTGTAGGAGGCTGGTATGTAACGTTACTGCTTTTTTCCCACGCTCGTCTGCGCCGGTTTCAGAAATAATACTTTTCTGCTCGTCCGGCACTTTGCAACAACACAGCATTGTGTTGCAGTGACTTTCAGCATGTTTCCTATAAATGACGTTTGCATTTTAAGACATACCATGCGAAATCCGATCGTTCAGACTGAGGCTGATGTCCTGATATGTGATTTGAATAGGAAACCACATATGGATGTAACTTGAAACGAATTTCATGTGCTTTTTTGGACTGACAATCTGAACGTATCTTATTTCGGGATAATAAATAGATGGAAGAATTGCAGTAATGTTACG